TAACTGGGGTAGTAACTGTAAGGATATATATCTAAAGGCTGGTGGCTTTTATTTGATTTGCTGCGCTGCGCGAGGCCCCCAAAGGGCCCCTCTTTGAGGTCCCCGAGCAGCAGGGGCTGCTGCTGCTGCTGCTGCTGCAGCTGCTGCAGCAGCAGCAGCAGCTGCCGCCGCTGCTGCAGCAGCACGTCCCCGTCCACCTTCAGCAAGAAGGAAGCAGCAGGACATGCTGCTGCTTGCCACTGCAGCACGGTGAGGGTTTTTGCTGCTAAGGAGGAGTAGCTGTCGGGGACCGACAGCAGCAGCACGTCCCCTGCTGCTGCTGCTTCCGCAGCAACTGCAGCAGCAGCAGCAGCAGCAGCAGCAGCACAAACCACAAACACCCGCTGCACCCCCATCGACCCCACACGCCCCGAACGGCCCCAGTGTCTCCTAATGAAGTCTCTTAGTTCAAATTCGGTGGCCCGCGTGTATATGGCCAGCAGCACAAAAGAGCTGCTGCTGCTGCTGCTGCTGCTGCTGCTGCTGCTGCTGATGCTGCTGCTGCTGCTGCTGCTGCAGTCGGCAATGCGGGGGTAGGTGAGGATCTGCCAGCTTTGCACTGGAGACACGCCCGGGGGCACTTCTGGACTTCCGCCGCGTGCTGCTGCTGCTGCTGCTGCTGCTGCTGCTGCTGCTGCTGCTGCTGCTGCTGCTTGGTAAGCTGCTGCTGCTGCGTCTGCCACGGAGTCGTCCTCGAAGCTATCCAGTCTGTCGTTTTCCTCTGCTGCAGCAGCAGCAGCAGCTGCTGCTGCTGCTGCTGCCTGGCGAGCGGTGCTGCGCAGCTTTGGGGGGCCCCCATAGGGGGCCTCATGCAGGAAATGCTGCTGCTGCTCGGGTGGCTGCTGCTCTTGCTGCTGCTCCTCTTGCTGCTGCTGCTGCTGCTGCTGCTGCTGCAGCACGAGCAGCAGCAGCAGCAGCAGCAGCAAGGCGGTCAGCCGCAGCCGGTGGAAGGGACGCCCGCAGATTTCCTGAACAGCAATTCCAAACCCTAAACCCTAAACCCTAGAGGCCCTAAACCCTAAACCCTCGAGCCTAAGCCCTAACCGCAAAAACCCTAAACCCTAAACCCTAGCCTTCGTAAGAAACTGCTTACCGAATTTGCTGCCAGCGGCTTCTTGCTGCGCAAAGGAACAGCAGCTGCTGCTGCTGCAGCAGCTGGGGGCCCGTCGCTGTCGCTGCTGCTGCTTCTGCTGCTGCTGCTGCTGCTGCTGTCCGCAGCAGTGGAGCGCTGGCTGCAGCTGCCCCTGCTGCTGTTGCTGCTGCGCTCATTGCTGCTGCTGCCCCTGTTTTTGCTGCTGCTGCTTCTGCTGCTGCTGTCGCTGCGGGTGTTCATGGTGTCTGCTGCAGCATCAGCAGCTGCTGCTGCTGGAACAGCAGCAGCTGCTGCTGGTGCCTGTTCTGTAAGGCTTGCGCAGCAGCAGCAGCAGCAGCAGCAGCAGCAGCAGCAGCAGCAGCAGCAGCAGCAGCAGCAGCCTCTGATCGACGGAAATCGATCTCTGCCGCAGCCGCCTTTGTGAGGCTCCTTCGCTGCGGCTCTTCGGTGGAATCGGCAAAACCCTGCAGCCTAGGGTTTGGGATCTAGGGTTTAGGGTTTAGGGTTTAGGGTTTAGGGTTTAGGGTTTAGGGTTTAGGCCTCGGCGTGCTCGCGGCTCCGTCTCGCGAGGCCCGCCGTCGCCCTGCTCCGCCTTTGCCTAGAAATCAAATTAGGGGATATTTCCTCATTTGAAAAGGGTTTAGGGTTTAGGGTTTAGGGTTTAGGGTTTAGGGTTTAGGGTTCAGGGCCTAGGGGGATCTGTTTCCTGGCCTCAGCGGTGCTCGGGGCCCTCAAGGCCCGAGTAGGCGAGCAGGAGCGGCGAGGGTTTAGGGTTTAGGGTTTAGGGTTTAGGGTTTTTAGCATCTGTTTTGTTAACCCTTTCCATTTCCAGCTCAGTTCAATTAAGTCTCGACCCAACAATTAGGGTAAAGAACATGCTGCTGCTGCTGCTGCTGCTCCCGCTGCTGCTGCTCCCGCTGCTGCTGCTGCTGCTGCTGCGTTGTTGCTGCTGCTGCTGCAGCAGAAAAGCCCTATAAACCACAATTAAATTCCATTTTATATTTTAAAATGAATGCATTTCGTTTTAGTTCGAATTTATTCAAATTAAAGACCTGCTGCAGCGCGGCTTTGCGCAGCAGTCGAAGCGCAGCAGCCAGAACTCGCGAAAGGCTTCAACATTTCAACAATTTGATGTTTTTATTTGTTATTTGATTATTATTTTCACTTTTATTTCCTTTTAATTCATTTTAATTTCGTTTTGGAGAGTTCAGAGCTGCGCAGCGCGCTCCGGCGGTTGCAGTGTACGTACAGTGTACGTACACTGCACTCCGCTGCAAACCAACTCGGCGTTTATTGAATATCTTTCTTTCGCGTCATTTATTTTAAATATTTATCAAAATAAATGAATAAATTCTGCAAATATATCTT